ATGCCACCCCTGCCTGGTGGCGGTGCTGGGCAGCCTGCTCTGGGTGACCCTGCTTTGGCAGGGGGTTGGGCTGGGTGACCCACAGAGGGCCCTGCCAACCCCTACTATTCTGTGATTCTGTGATTGAGGGTATCAATAGAACACAGTAGAAAGCCTGTAGTCCAACACATTGTTCCTGGTCTCATCTTTGCGTGACTGAAGTAGAACAGGTCACTTGACCTGATTTAACAAAGGTTGTTGGGTGCTTCTCACACCAGACCCTGTTCTCAGCTCCTGACAGCTTGGACTCTTTGAGCTGTATGTTTCTCTGCACACGTCTTCCTCAAAATGCTTTTTGTTTTTTCATGTTTATGCAACTCTACTGTTTCTCTGAGCAAGATTAAAAGAAAAAGCATGTTGTACTTGCTAACCTGAATCCATACAAAAGCTTTCCTTGTACACTTCGGTGTTACCTCAAAGTACATAGTCTGCAGCAGTGACCTAGCAGTTGACAGTTTGTCTCCCTAGAATCAAATACATATTTTCTACTGATTGGGACAGGGGGAGGCAGGGGGAGAAAAGGAAAAAAAATTAGCCAAATTACAATAATTTTCCAATCTTAAAAAATTTATTTCCCCATGCTAATATACTCATATCTAAAACTAAGTATGTAAATCTTTTACTGCATCTGGGTCGGGACACAATATTCCAATTTTCTCTCAACTTCTAATGAGATCTGTGAAAGCATTATTATTTTTTTAATAGACTTTGACCAGACAAGCAATACACAGACTGCTGAACACAGATTTCCCAAGTACACACTACCTTCCATAAAACACAGAATACCAACCCAGATAATGCTAATGCTCAGATGCACACCCTGCAGGTAGGCTCTTCCAAGCACTAGAAGTTGGGCATGTTTGCAGGTTCAGAGCCCACATTTGCTCCCAGGTCATGCCCTCAGGCTTTGCTTGGACATGTTCTCTCTCAACAGGCGTGACAACGGTGAACCTTGTACATGGCATCAACAGAGAAAAAAAAATGCAGATTAAATGTACATTTCATCTGCCTTGAAATGCACATTTTTTCTGCCTTCCTCTATTTCTTCAATAACTCTCCCTATGAAACATCCCTTTCATTCTTAAACGTCAAGATTCTTCCAAGTTCCAGAAAAATTATATCAAATACCAGGGATATGGGACTGGGTTCTGATGTCAAACAGTTGCTATGGGATTAAGTTCCCTGATACCACTGAAGTTAAATTAACATTGATTTAATAAAAGCAATGGTTTACCTGGGATATGAAAGTCTACTTGCAGTGTGTACTAGCGACCCAGCTCTGCAGTGGTATAGAGAAACATGGTTATTCTTTATTTGGTTTAATATTTTATTTTGACTTTAAGGAAAAAAATTAGTCCATCCCAGTTCATATCTTCATATACATTTATAATTTATGCTCTGTTGACTGAGAGAAAAAGAACAAACATATTAAAATTCGATACCTGTCCTCCAAACAGAGGAAACATTCCACAACAGAATTTGCATTATTTAGCTCTGATCATCTCCACATTTAGTTGTCACTGCTGACTTAATTATTGCTTCTATTTCTTCTTCAGGAACTGAGGGACCGCTTTTTGACAGCATTTTGATGAAACACTCCATGTACTGAACCAGAACTCCACTTCCCACGTTCATTCTGAACTTACTTTAACTGCTTATTGATGACTTAACCCGAGATACTAAGCTTTACCATTTGTTCCTACAAGACCTCCTGCCCTGCTGGGAAACCTCTGACAGTGTTACTGCAGGAGGTCAGTTTTGCAAAGACAGGACATCAATGTTTTCTTTCATATAATTACAGTTTTTGCAAAAAAAACCTTGGTTATACAGTAAGAATATGGTATTCAGAGAGTCAGACATCAAAGTAAAAGCTGAGGTGAATCAGCCAACTTGAACATCAAGCCACAATTAAAAAATAAAAATTCGGTTAATTTTGCTTTTTTGCCCGTTAGCAATTCAGACTTCGCTCCATCCCAGAATGTCTGAGCACTGACATGAATGACATTAAGCAGCATAATGATATATCTCCACCTAACTGCTTCTCTTCTTTGCATAATCCCATTTTTATCATTTGTATTCACAAGAATGTACAGGATGTAAGGATGGCAGGGTAAAAGACAGCGTAGAAATACAATAAATTAGCCACGACACCGGAACGTAAGACTGGAAGCAACATATCCGACTCTGCGATATAAATAGCTCTGTTTCCAGGGCAGGATTAGTCCTCCACTTACCCTTTCACGGCGTCTCACAGCATTCCACCCTCACCACAAACTGCCTGAGCCCAGGGACCTTCAGGACTAATCCTCCTGAATGCAGATTTATTGCAGCTTTGCCCTATCTTGAGGCTACCACGTTCCCCTTCCTGCCATCACACCCTTGAATTCCCTACTCAGGGCTCAGTATTTGTTAATCCCATTTCACAATATTGTGCGGAACTTTCCATCACTGCATTGATCCAGATGAGGAAAAAACCCTGATCTAAGGAATGCAGATCCACCTGCTTTAGGTCACGTCCCCTTCCAGCCCTACCTGAATCTGTGTAAGTAGCTACAGTGACCATCACGGGGGTTGGAGTAGCGGCACTACCTGTTGCCAGGGTTTGAGTAGCTGCAGTGACTGCTGTCACAGAGGTCGGGAGTAGCTGCTATGTCTCTCGCTGGAGAGAGTCCAGCAGAGGGCTACAAGGATGGTGAGAGGACTGGAACATCTCTCCTAGGAGGACAGGCTGAGGGAGCTGGGCTTGTTCAGCCTGGAGAAGAGAAGGCTGAGAGGGGACCTTAGAAATGCCTCTAAATATCTGCAGGGTGGGTGTCAGGAGGACAGGGTCAGACTCTTTCCAGTGGTG